CCCTTCTCATCCTTAACCTTTTTTTCATCCGCCACCAACTTCAACCATGGAAACTGCCCTAGACATCAATTGTCCATCATTTTTTTGAAGGCAAACACTAACTGCTCCAACGTTATAATATGAGATTTTGAGGCTACCATGCCTGTTTAATGAAGAATTCTTGAGTTCCACGGTTCTTGCATCTCCTGATATTGAACTTGAAGAAGCTATATCAGATTCGTAGATTTAGGTTCTTCTTCTGTAGTTCTTCTTTTAGGGTTTTTTAAGAAACCATCATTGATTCAAGCTTTTAATTTATTATTTTGTATTTTTTTGAGATGCGACAGTATTTTTTAAGAATTTTCAGGTTATATTCATGTTTTGAGTTGAGGAACATGATATTTAAGATTTTATGGGTTATGTTTATATGTTTTGTGATGAAGAACATGTTTTTTGCTGTTTAAAAATGAGTTATACAGTTTTTTTTATAATTTTTTAGATTATAAAATTACAATTTAAGAATGGTTGTTTAAATTTAAATTTAAAAAATGTATATAATTTATAATTAATATAATCTATACACCTAATAAATAAGTAACTTTGGGAACACGTATCATGTTTTTGTGCGATAGTTATTGATTTTTCCCGCCTAAACATTTATCTAGACACAATTTTCACTTACAGTTCAAATAGGTCTATTTAAGTGACATCTGTCCCTCTACGTGTTTATTTCCTGTTTTCGTGGTGTAACTGGTTTTTTTAGACTAATTAGAAATCTCTTATATGTTTTCTATAGTTTCTAAATCTTGAGGCTTCTTTTTCAGACTTAGAAGTCTGAACGTTGAACATGCATGTAGACACAATTTACATTACTGGTTCAAATGTGTCTATTTAATTGACATATGTCCCTGTAAACATAACTGATTTCTGCATGAAAAAGTGATTTCTTTTCAAATACTTAAATAAGCAGAACAGCAGAAGTCTAGATTTTTCTTCCTCAGACTTACAAGTCTGAACTCATTTTCCTCAGTTAAAATTCAGAGTTGTCTGCCAGACTTATAAGGCATACCGGTATAAAAGTCTGAACTCCTTTCCTCAGTTAAAATTCAAAGTTGTCTACCAGACTTGTAAGACATACAAGTATGAAAGTCTAGGAAAATCATAGTTATAAGTTTGGATTTAATTTTGAAGTGGCCTCCAGATTTACAACATAACTGTGAGAAAATTTAGAGTTGTAAGTCTGAATTTAATTCTGGAGTGGTCATCAAAACTGGGTTTAAAATTTCAAATTTGAAATTTTGAAGCATTTTTCACAAAACAATATTACTCGGCAAACAAAAAAATTCGACCCCAACCAAAGACTCTGCCCCTTGAACCCCGTCATCGAGGACGTTGCCCCCAAAAATTATATTAAATTGTTCAAATAACTTCAACCTTGAATACAGATGCAGCCCTAAGTCTACATGCAAAATAGAAAGCAATTAAATAAAAGGTGTACTTGGACCTTTTTAGTCACGTGGACGGCACGCAGTCTAAGGCCCACGATAAGTAGGGGGGACCTTTGCAATTCGTAGCCGGAAATCTCGTGGTCCTTTTTATCATTTCAATATAAATACCAGTAGATGTATTTAAAAAATTATGGAAATCAGATAAAAAATTAATGAATACTAAAAAAAGTATTAGTCAAAGCAACGAGATAAATCTTGATTTTAATATTTTATTTTATTTTTTATCTCAGTCGATATTATAATATGCTCTTATGTGATTTTGAAAAAACGGTGATGTTTTTATTTTTAAATAAAATATAAACTTGAAGATATCATAAAAATTTGACAAAAATATATCGATATAGTATCAAATTAACTATTTAAAATTTCTATTTTTTGTGTAATTTTTTAATTTAATTTTTTTTATTATAATTTAATTTAGGTTAAATAACGAAACAATTTATATTTGGTTTGATAATATAATTTTCTTATAAAGATAATAATTAATTATTTTGTTAGAACTCGATAATTATCCTGATTATATTTTAGATTTTTTAGATTTTAAAATGAGATGTTTATCATCTATTTGATTATGTTTATCCGTAGTTAGTTACACGAATTCAAACATGAAGCTTTAATAAGTTGTACTTATGCATAAGTTATTTGTAATCTTGAATTTTAAATAATATGCATCAATATACAATATTTTATGTATAAAAAATGGCACAAAGTAAAAAGATACAATATAAACTAAATATAAGGCACAAAGTATTATAGAGAAAAAATGGTGAAAAATAGAAAAAATATCCAAATCTAGTAGAAGAGTAAAAAATATAGGATACTTGTTGAATATGTCTTTATAGATTCAAAATATAAGAACAATACGAGTTTATTAGGGGTAGGAGTCTTCATAGGTTGAGTTGATTTTGTTGAAAACATTTGAACAACCCAATCTAATGCTTGCGGTTTGAAATTTTTTAATCTAACCTAACCCGAACCAAAGTGCAACCCAACCCAACCTGTACAGGTTAGTCGGGTTGGTCAGGTTGATACTTTGGTATATTAAAATATTTTTCTAACCTAGAATATGTTTTTTTTTTACTCATAATTTCTTTTTCATCATCAACCATTTAATACAACTTATCCATACTTCTTACGTATATTACATTTAGTTAATTTTCTTAATTTACATATATATGTTCACAGTTATTGAACATATATACGAATGAGTTATATAAAGATGTGAATAAATTGAAAATATGTGTATATGAAGAGCATACATGATAGTGTAATTGTCTAATGTATGTATTAATAGAAATTCAACAATTATATTAAATCCAAGAAATAAAAGGATATCGGGTTGGATTGAATTCAAATAGTAGTAACTCAATATCAACTCAATAACTACGGTTTGACAACTTTACAACTCGATTAGACATCAGATTGTTTCTGGTTGAGTTATTTCGTGTTGGGTTGGATTGGGTTGATCGAATTGATCAGGTTGGTCGGGTTTTTGAGCACCCTTAATTAGGGGTGTTCGTGGTCCGATTTGCATGGTTTAATATCCCAAATCATAAATCAAGCCGTAATGGCGGTTTATAAATTTTACAAACCAAGCGGTTTGGTCATAATTAGCCAAACCGATCAAATCGGACCACAAAAAGACGGTCTGATCTGACTGGTTTAGGCAGTTTGACCCTCTTATGATCTTTAAACTAAAAAACATAAATCTATATTTAAAATGAAATTTCTACTAACATAACGTTATTAAAAAAAAATAGTATATATAAATATAAAAGAAACGTTTATCTTTAAAATTTAGAAAAACATTGAGAAAATTGAAAAGAGGTTAAAGAAATCCATCAACAATAATTGGAAGGACAAACATTGAGCACATCGAAGGACGATTCGGAATTTTGTATTTGATTTTTGATGGATTTCAGGATCTTGTCGATTTAGATAACACGGTCAATTGAGAAATGAAAACTAAAAATATAATGCTTTGGACGGACTTTTTCTAATTGGGTCATAAAAGTTGAGCATACAACATGAAAATTAGATATAATTACTAGATGCGTAATTTTGGCGATCGGTGTGGTCCAAACCGCAGACGATTTTGTTCATATTTTTTTTAGAAAAAGGCCAGAAATCAGTGGATTCATGATAAGTTCCTCTGAGCAAGACACGACTTATTTGAAATTAATTGCACAATTCTTAAAAGGAAATCTTTCTCCGGACCATACCAAATGATTTGGCTATTTTTTGGATCGGACTGGACCGCCAGACTGCTTAAACCGCCAAAAACTGTCTGGTTTGTTTTGATCCGATCGGTTTGAACAGTCCAACGATTTTTTTGAACACCCCTACAGGCTATCTCCTATAACAAATCATTGGTCCAGACTTTTTTTAACCGGTTACTATTACCACTCCAAAATCAGAAAAGAACGTCCCAATCTTTTTGAAGACTTTGTTACACTTAAAGCTTTTGATTATAGTTAACACACATACATACATATATAGAGGAGCGATTAAATGCAAACCATCCAATTTGTATAAACCGTGCAAACACCCTCATCCGTCGATTTCATTGTATAATCTTGAAATTTTTTTCATGAAATTGTTTAATCTTGTGAAATTGTTTCATATAATTTTTTTTTATGAAGTTGGTTCATATATGGTTATGAAATTGTTTCATATAGTATTTAATGAAATTTTAACAAAACTATTTCATGCATTTCTCTAAAATTAAAATAATGAAGATGATAATATCTATGGTTAACACCCTCCACAGTAAAAATGATTAATCAATCTCTCATAATCTATACTATATTATAAAGAATTTGACAAAAACTCTTAAAAAGCATTTTTTATGCATGAAGTACTGTATATTGATGCATATTACTTAAAATTCAAGATTACAAGTAAGTTATGCATAAATACAACTTATTAAAGCTCCATKTTTGAATTCGTGTAACTAACTKCRGATAAACATAATCAAATARAGGATAAACATCTCATTTTAAAATATAAAAAATCTAAAATATAATTAKGATAATTATCGAGTTCTAACAAAATAATTAATTATTATATTTATAAAAAAATTATATTATTAAACCAAATATAAATTATTTCGTTATTAACATAAATTAAATTATAAAAAAACATTAAAATAGGAATTTTAAATAATTAATTTGATATTAATATCGATATTTTTGTCAAATTTTTATGATATTTTCAAATTTATATTTTATTCAAAAATAAAAATTTCATCGCTTTTTCAAAATAACATAAGACCGTACTATAACATCGACCGAGATAAATAATAAAATAAAATATTAAAATCAAGATGTATTTCGTTGCTTCCTTCTAGTTACAAAAAAATGAATAAAATGAAAAATCATAATCGATTGAATAAGGTTTGTACGGTTTATACAAATAAAATGATTTACAAAATAAACATCCTATGCATATACATACATATATATATACATACATATATATATATATATATATATATATATATATACACACACATTATATCATCGTTGATGTGATAATAATAAAAGAACGAAAAACACAGAAGAAGCAAGCATAAGTACATGACTCAAAATGCCTATAAATAATGGAAGATCGTGATGGATCATCTTCCGTAGTTAAGACACCAGTGTCGGATACGGATTCAGGTTTCCGGTCCCCGCCATTAATTCTCTCTCTACAACAAAGCAAGATACATCTTCCTCTGTAATTGCTTGCAGAATCAATTTTGAAGGTGGGGGACCAAACAGAAAACGTTGCTTTCCCAGTACTCCAAATGACCTCTTGAAAAGAAGAATCAATTAAAGCATGGCAGATTGACCGCCATTGAAACACCAGTACCAAATCCAGTTTTTTATTTATAAGAAAAAAAATTACCAGAGAAACCTCAACGTCTTTCTCTGCCGCAGAAAGTGGGAAAGTACGATTTGGCAGTTTTCTTCACCTTCCGTCATTTTCCTTAAGCGGTGCCAATGACTTGTCGGTTTTCGAAGGAACTTTGTCCCCCTGCATCAATTTTGTGTGCTTTTGTAACACCTTTTTCTGGTTAGATTTTTCTTCTGTGATTGGTGGAGAAGAAATGAGTTTGGAATCGTTTCAGTTCGTCGATGAGGAGATCCATAACCTGATGTCGGCAGACCCGCCGGTGAAGACCGGCAATTCGTTCACAGCTCTTCTCGAGCTCCCACCAAATCAAGCCGTGAAGCTTCTACACTCGCCGGAAGAATCAACACCTAATGTTTTTGCCTCCGTATGTTCGGTGATGGAGATAGAGAATTCACCAAATTCGAGCCGTGATAACTTCGATCTGGTGAAACTAGAGCCTGTGGAATCAGGTTCCATGCATAATTCATCACTGATTTTCTCAGATCCAATTATTTCAAAATCAACTAAACGGAAGGATCGAGAGAAGAAGGTTTGCGACTTCATCTCAATACCTAGGGTTTAATTTCGAGCTTTCAAAAGCAAAATTGATCAACTTACTGCAAATAGGTGAAATCATCGGCTAAGTAGATGAAAAGCTCTGCAACAGAGATCGATGGCGAGAAGCTCCCGTACGTTCACGTTCGTGCTCGGCGGGGTGAAGCAACAGATAGCCATAGCTTAGCCGAACGAGTAACAATCAGAATCATTCATGAAATCATGTTTAAGTAGCCATTAATGATTAATCTTACTTACATCAATCAATTATTGGCAGGCAAGGAGAGAGAAGATCAATGCTCGGATGAAGCTTCTTCAAGAGCTGGTCCCCGGTTGTAATAAGGTCAGTCACCCATAACCAAACCACTTGATTTCATCGATATTTTCTTCAAAATACTCCATACCAACATATTTATGTTCGGTTCTGTTAATTTTTGTAAATAAATTTTATTAAAATGAGAAATACATGAAACAATTTATTTTTTTACATGAAAACAAAAATATATGAAATAATTTTATCAAGAAATGAATAGTATATCTTATATGTAGAGTACTGTTTATTGATATATATTATTTAAAATTCAAGGTTACAAACAAACTGTACGTAAGTACAACTTATTAAATGTTCATGTTTGAATTCGTGTAACTAATTGCAGATAAATATATATAATAGGGATAAATAAGAACTTCAATATAATACATTTTAATATTTACCAGAAGGGTACTCACGCAATACGCCGAGATACATCTTCATTTTAATGTTTTGTTTTATTCTTTTGTCTCTATTGATATATTATGATTTATGTGGTTTTGAGAAAATTAATGCTTGATAAAAATAAATTTGAAGACATCATAAAAATTTGAAAAAATATATCGATATTAATATTAAATAAATTATTTAATTCAAAGTTTTATTATAATTTAATTTAGGTTAAATAGTGAAATATTTTATTTTTAACTTAATATATTTTTATAAAGATAACGATTTTGTTAGAAATCAATGATTATCTTAATTATATTTTAAATTTTTATATTTAAAACGAGATGTTTATCTTGTATTTGATTATGTTTATCTGCAGTTAGCTATACGAATTAAAAAATAGAGCTTTAATAAGTTGTACTTACTCATAATTTACTTGTGATTTTAAATTTTAAGTAATATGCTTTAATACATAGTACTTCATGCATAAATAATGATTTTTAAGAGTTTTTAAAACATTTGACAAAAACTTTTAAAAACTATTTTTTATGTATGAAGTATTATTTATTTATGTATATTACTTAAAATTCAAGATACCAAGTAAATTGTGTGTAAGTACAACTTATTAAAATTCCTTGTTTGAATTCGTGTAACTAACCGCGGATAAACATAATCAAATAAAAAATAAGTATCTCACTTTAAAATATAAAAAATCTAAAATATATTTAGGATAATTATTGAGTTCGAATAAAATAATTAATTATTATTTTTATAAAAAATTATATTATTAAACTAAATATAAATTACTTCGTTATTGAACTTATATTAAATTATAATAAAAATTTTGAATCAAAAAATTACACAAAAAATGAGAAATTTAAAATAGTCAATTTGATACTAATATCGATATATTTTTGTCAAATTTTTATAATATTTTTAAATTTATATTTTATTCAAAAATAAAAATATTATCACTTTTTCAAAATCAAATAAGATCATATTATAACATCGACTGAGATAAAAAAAATAAAAAGAAATATTAAAATTAAGATGTATCTCGCTACATTGGGCGATTACCCTTCTAGTATTACAATACAAGATAAACATTGAATTATATTAATACTCAAATCCGCTAAAAAAATTTGCATTTCTCACCCAGGTCTGCTTGAAAATTTACATTTTTCATCCATTCCACGAAAGAAAATATTAAAATTACGGATCTAGGGCTATTTTGGTAAACCTTGTAAAAAATGACTATAAGATGAAAACAGCCAATAAAATCTAGGATTATTTTAATTAATTTCCTTATTTTCTATCATGTGAACAACTATGAACGTTTTGTGAACGTCACCATGAACAACTGAACACCTTGTTTGGACTATTGTTTACGATTTCATTTTAATATTCTGTAAACACTATTATGAATACTGATATTAGGAAGATGGGATAATCCCTTGATCAAATTGTAAAATCAAACAAATCCAAACCAAAAATAAATTTATACAAACTAAATCCAACCAGAAACTTCAATTCCGCGTTTGGGATTTCTTATTTAAAATGCTTGTTAATTTATTTTGATGTGGTATTGGTGATAAGGAGTTTTTAATATTTGGATGGAAAAAGCGAAGAAATACTTATATAGGTTTGAAACCGGTAATAAGAAGTTTTTGATAAATTAATTCCTTCTAACTTATGAACTTATTTGAGTGTGGTATCAATAAAAAGGAGTTTTTAGTGTTTGGATGAAAAAAAAAAGAAACATTTATCTGTTTATTACGTTTTGATGCTGCTATAAGCTAGCTAATGCAAACACTTTTTTTATAGATTACCGATTTGACACCACATAAGTTATGAACGTTTTTACAAAAAAGCGTAAGTTGTTTTAAATAAGCAATCCCAAACACCTCTTAGAGTGAATTATGGATTTGTTCCCTGTGCTTTGATGTTTTTTTTTCTAACTAGGGTCCTTATGGTATGTTCATTATGGATTTGGTCCATGTGGTATTCACTTTGTCTTGGTCATGGTCCGTCTGATTAGTACTGTGAAAATAATTTCGTTAACTCGGTTAAATCAAGGGTCATTTTAGTCTTTTTACCTATTTTTATCTTCTCTCTCTCTCTCTCTCTCTATATATATATATATATATATATATATACTTGAGATCACATGAGACCAACCTGTTTTTGTGAGACCCGTGAGACCAGCTTTTTATACTTGAAACTTCACAGCAAAATGCTGTGAAGGTAACCTTCACAGTGTTTTTGCTGTGAAGGTAACCTTCACAGTGTTTTTGCTGTGAAGTTTCAAGTGTAAAAATGTGGTTTCACGAGTCTCACGAAAACAGTCTGGTCTCACGTGAACCCAACCCTATATATATATATATATATATATGGAGAGATAGCTAAAAATCGATTCAGGTCCGGGCCGAGCATGGCCCATATCGGTCCCGGTCACAAATACTATTCCTGTAACTGGTCCAGGTCCTGGTCCCGAACAAAAACCCAATACTATTCCTGTAACCGGGCCGGGTCAAAATTAGTCCCACTTTTTTTAAGAAAAAAACTATGTTTTACATATAATTATTTAGAAAAGTACAAAAATGTTATTATAATACACTTTAAAATATGTAATTGGATCAATGAAATACATTTAAAAAATACTTTTTATTATAATTTGTTAAAACCGGAAATCTAATACGAGCCAAAATCACGAATTAGAGTGAGAATTATGAACGTTTTTTTTTGCGTTTATAAGTTGGTGTCTTTCCCTTTATACTATATAACTTATATATTGTGTATAGAAGGTCAATGAGACAAAAATAATCAAAAAATGGAAAAAAAAACGGTCATATTACCGTTCCAACGACTATAAAAAACATAACATTTAAAAAAAAAATCAGGCCGGTCCGTGCCGGGCCCACAACCGATCCCAAACCGGTCCAGATCCCACTCGGGCTTTGTTTTTGAATGAAAAGTTTAACCGGCGATCCTAATCGGTCCCAAGCTGGTCCTGGGTTAGGTCGGGCCCATTTGGCCATCTCTAAGATAATAATATGTATGAATCTCCCTATAATCAAAATGTGAATGGTTGATTTTGAGTTTTTGGGTGAACAATAATATGAAACCTCTGAAACCTTAATTTTAGGATGATAAAATTAGAGTTATTTATTTTCTTTTTTATGGTTTTCAATAATTTTGGTGTTATAATATTGATAATAAGTAATGACGGAAAAAAATTAAAATTAAATTGGTAATGATAATTAATTTTTTAATTTAAACGAACCAAATATAAAATAATATCTTATTTTATTTATTTTGATATCCTTATTTGATATATATATATATATATATATATTTATTTATTTATTTATTTATTTATACTATCTTATAAAGCAAATTTAACAAAAGTCTTAAAGTCTTAAAATACTAAATGACCAAGATACCCTTTATACATTTTTTCATTCACTCCTCTCCTCGTATGCACTCACCCTCTCACAACCAATTTTTTTAAAATTATAATTTTAAATTTACACTTTATAACCCTATAATTAGTTAATTAATTTACTTTACGTCATTTACTTTTAAATGTTTCATTTTAAACCTTTATCGAATTAATATACATAATCGTATATCAATTAAAACATGTTTAAAAAATACATTTTTATTTTAACAAGTTACACCA